ATATATATATATATATATATATATATATATATATATATATATATGAGAAGAATAAAAAGAAAAAAAAATGTTTTGATCAAATCTGGTGCATGCATTGAGCACTAAAACAATGAACACATCCAAACTAACCATATAATGATGCTTAAAAAACGTGGCGTGAAACAATTTCAGCATCACGGAATGCAATGTGAGAAGAGCGTGTGTCTCTCATTATGGCAATGTTTGCACGCAACACCTGTTCTCTCACAATGCTGTAACAATGATCACTTTACATGCCTTACTTCATATACCTCATGAAGTATGTATACTTCATTCACTTACCTCTATCCTATTATTTAATTTATAATTCAGTTTTATAATACTACATTTTATCTTCATTTATTCACTATTGTATGTGAGCTTCAGACACCTGCCTGTGCAAAACACACAGTAAACATGACTAACCACAGGAAAGTGAGAATGTGAGTTGCTCGTTACTTGTTCTACATGTATTGATGAACTTGTAGAATTGTTTTTGTTAAAGATGTTCATTAGATTAAAGATAAATGTTCATTAATTAAATATAAACAAATCAATATAATTGGTTTGCTGAATGTGCTGAATTATCAGTTCAATTCTGTGACAGAACCATACACACTACTGAGTTTCGTAAAATCTGAAGATGGATCTCACAGACATTTCTTCAGCTCATCTCGATGAGTTATTTCCTAATTTACTCTCATCATAAAACTGTAGTGTCTTTAGAACATGAGAATTGTGCTCGTCTGTCTGAGAAACCTAATCTGCTCAGACACTGTAGTCAGCAAACCAGTGATACAGTCAGCAGCTGGTCAATGTGCGTCCACTAGAATTCATAATTGGACTCATTCTAAGTCACAGACTGCTGTCACAGGTGAGAAGAACGACCGTTATGGAGTTCTGGTTGATCTCGGTTCCTCTGGATAAAATCAGCTGTCAGTCTTTAGAGAAACTCAAACGGGTCTCAGCCAAAACCGGTCTGGCCACGAGCTCCAGAATCCACATCCCAGAGCTGAAGGTAAGGAAACACTCTTCTTCTAAGACTTCTGGGCTCTCTGGAGGATCTCAGGTGCTTCACTATAGGCCAGTTTGAGTCTTATTTTTTGCTAAAGGTCAATAATCTATGGACAATAAACACTGAAAAACAAACTAAACCGGTTTATTCTTAAACACTTCCCATGAATGGAGTACAAAATTTGAAGTTCTTAACAATTTTTTTAAAATTATTTTTCAATCAAGAGTCAATAAAAAGATGTGCTAATGCTCAAATCACACATTAACACAGCTGTTTTATTTCTTTATCGTTTATTATATCATTACAAATACTTTGAAAACAGTGTTAAATGGTTGGGCTTGATGAATGCAGTCAATGCTATGATTTGTGTAAAAATGTATCAAATGGAATGAGATTATTATGATATATATTATGATAAGTCACACACTGAAGTCCGAATCATAACACAGAATCCAAACCTGTATGATGACTTTTTTCTTCTGTTGAAGATATTTTGGAGAATGTTGGTAACCATACAGTTTTGGTGCCCACTGGCTTACAAGATAATTCTCAAAATATCTTCCTTTATGTTCGACAGAAGAAATTAAGTCATACAGTTTTGGAATGACACAAAGGTGTGTAAATAATGACAGAATGTTCATTTTTGGGTGAACTCTTAATTTAAAGAGAAGATTGACACAAAAAGGAATAAAAATGCTTTATTTTCAAGCAGGTTTCCCAAACACTAGGAAAACTACACTGCACAACAGTGTCTGCCATTGTTTGGATAAAAAAGGCAGTCCAAGTTCCCCAAACCCATGCCATTGGTTGAGCCAGAATTTGACATGTCGTGCCACTCAAACAATGTTTTGAAAGCACCACAGAGCCACAGTGTTACACTCTTTAGAAAGCAAGAAAGGAAGTTTACCATTAAAAAATACACTTTTCACCTTTAACTTTGATTAACAGAAGTTTACGTTTGTATAGAATGATAATGGATAGCATGAGTTCCATTTACCAAACATGCGACTGGTTTTGAATTGCCCTGTCTTGGCAACATGACTCTAGTCAGTGACCAATTTGTTCCAAATGAATTAATGGATACAAAAAGAGCTTAACTGTGTGTCTGTCTGTGCATCGGAACAGGTATTGGATTGCCTCCTTCAGTCAAATGTCTCCATAATGTAGCGTCTGGACCACTCAAACACACAATATATATTTTGTTAGCTAGATTTAACAAATACTCTGTAACACCCCAGGGAGCCGAACAGGCCCCTGGTTCCATGGCAACCCTGACACCCGATACATTTACGACCTCCTGGAATTTAGGTGAAGAAAATCGCTTCCTTGCCCATAAGGAAAATCCACAAGGGAAGGACTTTTCTTTGCTAATTAATTAATAGGAAAACCTTTCTTTGAATGAACACACATGATCCTTCAGGTCATTGGGTATATTATTGTCATCGTGTATTTTGTCTTTGAAATTGTATACTGTGATGCAGGTTTATAATCGAAACACACTCCTGTCAGCTTACATATATATAACCCTACCATGCTTAGTATCTATGAATTCGTATTGGGATGATCTAATTGAGAGTGTATATTGTATGTTTACACCTACGCAACATATTAGTGTTCTAAGAGTCTGTAATAATTTTTATCCGAGTTTCATATGCAAATTACCATGCTTTCAAACAAAGGGCCATAAAAATGCCCCAGTATCTCAGAACGCCCACTTGGGATTCCGGACTTTCTCATTGGACAAGCCCATCTTGAAAGGCGGGGATCTTCTCAGACCTTAAAGGCCCTGCTCCAGGGACCCTCCCAGTCGGTGGTTTGTT